ATGGCGCAACCACATCGATTTTATTCAGAGGAAACTAGCCAGTGTGCTTTTTTTACTTAGACAACTCAGTAGGCTGACAAGTCTAGAAATTCAAAGAACGGCATACTTTTCACTTTTTCACACAGTCATCTCCTATGGCACTGTCCTATGGGGGGACTCCACTGATTCCATAAAAGTCTTTAGGCTCCAAAAAAAGGCAATAAGAATTTTATCCAAAGTTGGTCCCCGTGTACACTGTCCTCTCTTCACGAAATTGGACATAATGCCACTCCCGGCAATCTTCATATTTAACACATTGATTCAAATTCATAGTCAAAAAGATTCTCTTTGTCTGCAGTCAGATATCCACCGCTATAACACCCGTAATGCATCAATGGTCAGACCTCAAAGGTTTAGACTTGATGTCAGCAAGAAAAACTCTCTAAATTATAATCTATATAATGTCCTTCCTGATACAGTGAGGTGCATGGCGATCGGTCAATTTAAGACTTACATCAAAGAGTTCCTAACAAAAAATTGTTTTTATAATATCGAAGAATATATATCTGCCAGTGAAGTGCTAGGGTGAAAACATTTTGTATTGTTTTGAATTATACTGTCTATATAAATACTTGTCTCTGTGTGTTAAATCTAAAGTAAAGTTTTTTAAAATCTTGTTTTTAAACTAACGAACCTGTGTCCTTATTTTTAATCTGTATAATGTTTTACTGCTCATTTTATAATAATATAAGTTCTATTTAGTTCTACCGAAATCATATGACTTGTCACAAACATCTCAATTGTAACGTGATCAAATAAATCTACTCTACTCTACTCTACTCTAGGATGTATCAGAGACGTCTAGAAATGAACGTCCTAAAGATGTCTTATCATAGTCCAAAAATATTCGATCAGTAAAGTCAGTACGTTTGTGGTCGAGGCAATACAGAGAAGTGCATAAGAAACGGCCAGGATTGTAACTTTTGAATTATTCTAGATAGGGTTTTAATAATTGGTGGGTAGCAAGTATACCAAATTGCTCATTAATTGATGAAACAATGTTTCTTCTGTCACTTACAGTTTCACCGGAAACAACCCCAAATTTTGATTTTCAAATGGGACACCCTGTATTGTATTTCATAATCGGTTAGGGATTATCATAACGAATTCAACGATACCGAGTTTGATAGAGTTATTTCAAAAGATTACGAAGATATTCGCGTTCGAAATTTTCATATGGTCAATGGGTGTGACTTCGCAATATCAAAACTCCTTTCTCTGTCACACTCATTGAACATATGGAAGCTTAGAGCGCGAATATCTGCGTAATCGTTTGAAATAACCCTATCAAACCCGGTATCGATGAATTCGTTGTGACAATCCCCAACCGATTATGGAATACAATACAGGGTGTCCCGTTTAAAAATCAAAAGTTGGTGTCGTTTCCAGTGAAACCGAAAGTGATAGAACAAACATTGTTTCGTCAATGGGCGTATACACCTTAGTAGAACTTTTAACTCAAACCATGTTTATAATGATCCTTTTATACATAAATAATGATTGACGACATAATTCGATCGAAAAGTTTTCACGTCACATCATCGCCTCGTTTTCAGAGGTCCGAAAAATCGGGGATTTCAATAATCTTTCATAAAACGTAGGGAGCTCACAGCGAGAAACGGTTTGCGGTGGTGAGCTAGTTTGGGTGAGTTCTATCGAATTATGAAATGAAATTTTTTTGTGATATAAGCCCATTAATGGTCCATTTGTTATACTAGCTGCCCACCAATTTTCAAAACCCTATCTCGAATAAAAGTTACAGTCCTGGCCGTTTTTTGTGCACTTCTCTGTATATTGAATTTGATTTGAAAAGAATAGTTAATGCTGACATTTCTAGTGAGAACACCGGATTTGAATCTTTGCTAATGAATTTCCTCTTGCATAAATTGTGCGTCTTTGAAACGTGTGTATCAGTACGTCTCAGAGATGTCCAGGCAATGACGTATTCAACAATGAAATCATCTTGAATATATTAGTTATCTGTATCTACCATCAGTACTATATGAAAACATTCAGAATGGTAAGTAGTTTGACTTCGCTATTGGTGGGATTTGACAAATATCAGTTTTCAACCAATCGAAGCCCCAAAGTTTCCATAGATAAAAAATACCCAATAATCCGAATATTGAAATCAAATATAGTCACTTATGTTCGTAACACTGAATTCGTTATCAACTTATATGAATGAATTACTCTCTTGCTTGTCCAAGAATATTCTACTTGAGAGCGACTGAGACAAAAATATATTCGAATTCGCAGTTCCACATTTGAACCTCTATCCGAAACCGACGACTTCTTGCTTCGTGCCAGACGTGCCCCGTGCACCGTGTTCTGTAGGTCTGTCATCACATATCACTATCAGTGGCGTTTATCTGTGTTCATTTTATTTGTTTCTTCAACCACTTCGTTTTGTTGTTGAATGTTGATTATTCTGCAAATTTACAAGTCGATTTTGGTTAGTATTTATAACCCCATGAAAATGAACTTACCTCAAAGTGGATTTCATGCAATGGCTCAATTAATAAATATTGTATGTCGAGAGTTCAACCAGCGTAATGGCGGCTGGCGGCTGAAAGTACCTAATAGGACGAATGATTGCACTCATGGTGAATTCCAATTTTATTTATAATGAAGTAATAACTATTGCAAGTAGTCAAAATGATGCAATGACAGGTGCAGGCAGCCAGTATGATATTTTTTACATTTTATCATATACAAATACAATACAATACAATAATTAATGAGTTGGTATAATTATTGTTCTTCATTGTTTTAGGTGCAACTGAACAGACACAAAAATTCAGTAAACATATTATCTTCGATACAGTCATGGCTCAGAAGAACGAGTGATAGAAAATTGTCCAAAATCTACTAAAAATGAAGTACTTTCGATGTCCGAAAGATGTTCTAGTAATATCCATATTGGACATAAAGCATACATTTGAATTACATCTTTAGGACGTCCAGTTAATGTTCGATTGGACGTCTTTAGGAGTTCCGATTTTGTCACAACGGACGTCTTGAAGACATCTTATGGACGTCTTAGAGATTTAACTTGACGTCTTCAAGATGTCCCTAACATCTTGCGTCGACGTATGCATGTATTTGTGCTGTATGGGAATAACCATCCACAGAGCGAACACCTGCAAGGTCAACTGCTTGTCCAAGCCCAGCTCCTCGCAGTCCACCACCACCTGACAAACGCGATCGCAGGTGGCCGTAGGAGCGTCATAATGAGAAAGAAGAACGATCTAGGCTTCAGTGCCACCTAGTGGCAACATTCTAACCCAACACCGAGCCATCACTTTCGCACAAACACAAACCTTATAGCGGACTAATCATCCACAGCGCGAACACCTACAAGGCCAACTGGAAAATCAAGCCCAGTTCCTCACAGCCATCCACCACCTGACAAACGCGATCACAGATGGCCGTAGGAGCGTTATAAAGAGAAGAAAGAACGATCTATGCTTCAGTGCCACCTAGTGGCAACCTTCTAACCCAAACACCAAGTCATCACTTTTGCACGAATACAAACCTAATAGCGGACTTACCATCCATAGCACAAACACCTGCAAGGCCAACTGCTCATTCAAGCCCAGCTCCTCGCAGTCCGCCACTACCTGACAAACGCGATCACAGATGGCCGTAGGAGCGTTATAATGAGAAGAAAGAACGATCTATGCTTCAGCGCCACCTAGTGGCAACCTTCTAACCCAACACCAAGCCATCACTTTCGCACAAACACAAACCTTATAGCGGACTAATCATCCACAGCGCGAAGACTTGCAAGGCCAACTGCTTGTTGAAGCCCAGCTCCCCACAGTCCGCCACCACCCGATAAACGTGATCACAGGTGGCCGTAGGAGCATTATAATGAGCAGAAAGAACGATCTAGGCTCCAGTGCCACCTAGTGGCAACCTTTCAACCCAACACAAAGTAGTGTTGCCGTCTAGACTTATACATTCTAGACTCTTGTCTTGTCTTGTCTAGAATATCAAGACAAGATCATCAATATGTCTTGTCTAGATTATCTAGACAAGACAAGACTTTTCATTTTCCATACAAGACTTTTATTCAAAACTTTTGATTATTTTCAAATCTATATTACAAATAATACAAAAAAAAACTTACAAACGTTTAATGTTTTGAATTTAAGTACGTTGAAGAAACAAATTAAATTTTAAACAGAAACATATTTTTTAATACTTTCATGAAGCTGACAGGTAGCCCATGAATTGATACATAGAAGTGACCTGGCTGAATCGGAATTAAGCCTATTCCTATGTTTACGAATGGTAAGCGAAGCTCTAGAAAATAAGCGTTCTGCTGGAACAGATGTGGCAGGAATACTCAGCAAATCGCGTGCCATTTTGGCTAATGTAGGATAAGCAAACTGATGCTTGCGCCACCAAACAAGAATATCTTCTTCTCTTGGAGCACGTTTACTTGAAAGGTACTGATCAATTTCTTTTCTCCAGAAATGTGGGTTGTCAACAAAATTGTCTGTAGAAGAGGTAGAACTTTCAAATAAAAAATTGAAGTCAAGTGGACTGTTATCTTCAGAGTCAGTTAAATTCTAGAGTCTTGAATAATAATCTAGACTTTCGTTATCTAGACAAGATCGCACTTAGCTTGTTTAATCAAGACTTACGCGTATACAACTCTTGTCTTGAAATTTCAAGACAAGACAAGAGTAGGTAAACTATTGTCTTGTCTTGTCTAGATGGCAACACTAACACAAAGTCATCAGTTCCGCACGAATACAAACCTAATAGCGGACTAACCATCCACAGAGCGAAGACCTGCGAGGCAACTGCTTGTTCAAGCCCAGCTCCTCGCAGCCCGCCACCACCTGACAAACGCGATCGCAGGTGGCCGTGGGAGCGTCATAATGAGAAGGAAGAACGATCTAGGCTTCAACCCAACACCAAGTCATCAATATCGCACGAATACAAACCTAATAGCGGACTAACCATCCACAGCGCGAACACCTGCAAGGCCACTTGCTTGTTCAAGCCCAGCTCCTCGCAGCCCGCCACCGCCTGGCAGACGCGGTCACAGGTGGCCGTGGGAGCGTCTTCGACGTCCAGCATGACGGCGGTGCGCGTGTGCAGGTACAGGCAGATGGGCGTCGTCTGTGGCTGGTCGAAGCAGGTGCTCGAAGTGGACGTGGATTTGTTGACGAGCGGTGCGGAAGCGTTGCTGTTGTCTGAAATTGAAATTATTTGAAATAGAGTGAGTAGATTGGATAGAGTGAGGACAATAGATCTCTAAATGGCTGCCGTATCCGGAATGTCATTCTAGGTCAAGTCACTCAATAGCTAAAACTCTAAAGGGTATCTCCTATGCAGTAATGAATTTGCGACTTCGAAGTGGCCACCATCTAAATAATCTGAGACTTACGAGTCCCAGAAGACGGATTCTATTAGCTAATATCCAAGGTACTGACGTATAGAGTTTCATGTCTGATTGTTGTATGTTTTGTGTCCAAAGAACAAAAAACCTCCATATTAGAGGTCTGACCAATCAAAAAGTGTATTTATAAAGTCATTCTAGTTTGAAATGCATCTTTCCTTAATTAGGCAATCGTATTCAAAATGTGAAAATAGGTGTTTTATAATCTGACTCTTTTATTTTTGACAGTAGAAGAAAAATAAAAAAGACCCACAGGGTATTTTTAGTCTTCCTCGGAATATAAGATACGTTTTCACTGTCTGGGAAGATATACAGGGAGCAACAAAAAGTGTATGAACCTCAAATGGAACACCTGATACAGGGGGTTTTTCTGCACTTGAAACTCCGCACGCCATTATCTCGAAAACGGAGAGAAATATTTGATTTCTGTAAAAAGTAGTGGGATGGGGTCAAGTAGATTTTTTTCAAAGTTCAAAAAATTCAACGACTACTTAAAGTTGAGCGTGGCGACGCGTCGAAAATATAAATCGATTGCATTGACTTTGAAATCACGCGCACTAAACAGTACATGTTATTTATAAACTTTCTTGCAATCTACTCGAACTTATTCATGTTACTCATTTTTGAGTTATACCGGTTTATAGTAAATGTTTCTTGATTGACAAAATATGCGATTACGTATGATTCTTACAAGAATGTCATAAATATGAGTTACCTTGGCAACCATTGTTAACGCAATTAATGATTTCAAGGGACAACTTATATCGTATGCAGATGACACAGCTATCATCATAACAGGAGACTCTTGGGTAAATGTGTATACGAACGCCGAAAACGCATTGAAAGATATATACAGTTATGTCTGAACAATAACTTATTGAGTTTAAATACTAAAAATACCAAATTAACATTCACTTTACAACAAGGTGATCAGCCAAAAGAAGAATCTCTGAGGATACATCGAGTAGGGTGTACCTCACAAAACTGCGCATGCCCTCTGATAGAAAGAGTAGATAATATTAAATACTTAGGTGTGATGATAGATCAGCATTTAAGATGGGATGTTCACTGTGATTACTTAGTGCAACGACTCCGAATGTTGACAAGGAGTTTTTAGGAACTGAGAGATATTTTAGACAGAAAAAAATCTATTCATCATCTATAATTCAAAAGCAGAATCTGTCCTTAAATACTGTATAACTGTTTAGGGCGGAATGTACAACAACACACTCTACCGGCTTCAATCTACACAAAATTCACTTGCTTAGGTGGATTCTGTCCTTCTGGTGAGGGTGTAATGTTATAATTTTATAATCTATATAAATTGTATCACCATTATTATTATGAATATATTATTATAGTTGTTTCAAGTGTCAAACTAAACTAAAACATGCATACATTAGAAATGCAAGGGATCCTGCTAAAAGAATGGATTTCTTAGCAAGATTTTCACATTTGTTTTAGCAAGATAATTCTCTTGAACATTCCATATACATATTTAATAATGGAATCGTGAACAGACACAACTGTCGGTTTTGGTCCGAAAACCAACCTCGTTGGATAAAAATTAAGAGAGGTAAACAGCGAATTTTTGGCATCAATGTTTGGTGCACCATGATAAACCAATTCCTTATTGGGCATCACTTTTACGAGGTACTTTGAATGCTGATCGTTATCTTAGATTTCTTCAAACTACACTTCCTGAACAATTAGAAGAAGTTCAGTTGAGCATTAGAATGATTATAAGGCTTCGGTAGGATGGAGTGCCCGCTCATAATACCGGAATTGTAACGAGGTATTTACACAGAGAATGTCCCAAAGGATGGTTTGGCACAATAATGGGCAAAGTGACCGACGAGGTCCCCGGACATCACACCTCCACATTATTTTCTTTGGGGTCACAAAGAACGTTGTCTATCATTTTGTGTTCAAATTTCTTGGAACGTTGTATAGCAACAAACTTTTCCTGCCTAGGCAGATAAAGTACACCTTTCCCGCCTATTAAGTGTCAGAGAAAAGAAAACTTACCCTGCCGCTTGGAGAAAATAGATATTTTTCTCCAAGCGGCAGGGATAGTGGCTTTTTCCTGCCGCTTAACAGACAGAAAAGGTGTACTTTTACTGCCTAGGCAGAAAAAGTTTGTTGCTATGCAACGTTCCAAGAAATTCTAATAAAATAAGTAATCAAAATTGACACTGACATTAGATGAACACAAAATGATGGAGTTTTCGATAAAAAAATTACACAATAGTTTTACGCTACGCTCGGCTATGAAGTATCAGCCACGGCAGTCAATCTACATTTGCTGCCGTGTGAAACATAGAATTTTTTCTCCAAATGATATAAAAACTAATTTTGTGTAGTTTTTTTATTGAAAACACCATCATTTTGTGTTCACCCAATGTCAGTGTCAATTTTGATTACTAATTTCATTAGAATTTATTGGAACGTTGCATAGCAACAAACTTTTTCTGCCTAGGCAGTAAAAGTACACCTTTCTGCCTGTTAAGCAGCAGGAGAAAGCAACTATCCCTGCCGCTTGGAGAAAAACTTGGTTTTATATCATTTGGAGAAAAAATTCTATGTTTCACACGGCAGCAAATGTAGATTGACTGCCTTGGCTGAATTCCTAGCCTCGCTACGCTCGGCTATGAACTATCAGCCGCAGCAGTCAATCTACTACTTTTCTGCCTAGTAAAACAAATAACTATTGTTTTACTAGGCAGAAAAGTACAAGATTCGATGCAGCGGCTGGCGTTTCATAGCAAAGGCATAGCTGAGGCTAGGAAACCAGCCAAGGCATTACATCTTCTTTTCTGCCATGTGAAACATATAATTTTTTCTCCAAATTCTTTTCGATTTCACGCAAAGTCCAAATAATCCATCATTTTTGGTTCATCCAAAGTCATTGTCAATTTTGATTACCAATTAGATTCAAATTACTTGAAACGTTGCATAGCAACAAACTTTTTCTGCCTAGGCAGTAAACGTACACGTTTTCTGCCTGTTCAGTGTCATTGAAAATCCACTTTCAATATCATTTGGAGAAAATAGTTATTTGTTTTACTAGGCAAAAATGTAGTAGATTGACTGCCGCAGCTGCCGTGTGAAACAGAGAATTTTTTCTCCAAATGATATAAAACCAGTTTTGTGTAATTTTTGTATTGAAAACTCCATTATTTTGTGTTCATCCAATGTAATGTCAATTTTGATTACTAATTTCATTAGAATTTCTTGGAACTTTGCATAGCAACAAACTTTTTCTGCCTAGGCCGTAAAAGTACACCTTTTCTGCCTGTTGAGCGGCAGAAAAAAACCACTATCTCTGTCGCTTGGAGAAAAATGAATATTCCACCTCCTCGATCAATGGATTTCATCAACATTATATGCATCAGCTGCCCAGTGCGTTGCTGGGTTCCACCGGTGATTATAGCAACGTGTCAAATTAAATTTGTTCTCTCGATATGGAATAATATTATTCTAGTTCATATATGTTATTCATTATCAATGATAAGACCTCAAATGCATACGGTTGCCATTCGTAATTTAATTATTTGTGATAGTCAGGACATCTAGGCCAAATAATATCTATTATCTCCCATATATACGTACCTATATTTCATTTGTAAACAATATCGACTCATTCAATTCATACTATGATTACCATGAACGTGATCAGAAATCTATTTTTTCTAAGGCTGTAACACAAAATGCTCTTATTGTTTTACTGTGTTCGATTAATCAATGAGGTACTTTTTATGTCATCAATATCATTTCCGTATCTGATATCATAATGTCTTCAATGTGTTATTATTTCACAAAATCTCATCTCCCACGTAATATTTTGCTTGGGGTACATCTAGATGCAAGTCTGAATTTTTTGCTTCACATTGATCAATTATGTGAGCGTCTAGCAACATCAACCTATACAGGGTGGTTCGTTTTTTAATACGAAAATTCAACAGCGTATAGTACTCGTTGAAATTATAAATAAACTTCCTATGAACATATACTTTTAAACGCTTCGTTTTCGAGATATAGGGTGTTCAAGTTTCTTTAAAAAATCGATTATTTATTGATATCTCAGAAATGCTATAACCGATTGTGATGAAATTCACAACTATTGTGGAAATATCAATGAACTAACTGTTAGTTCATGAATGAGTTACATATTTTCAGGGGCGTGCATTTCAAAATACATTTTTTTTGCCCTCTTAGATTTTTTTATCTAATAACTTCGTTTCAGAAGGAAAAATAAAAACCAAACCTATGCATGTCTCTAAACCCAATGAAAGAAACATTGTAATGTATTAAATCACGTTAGCATTGGCCGTTCACCAAACCAATCATGTAATTATTGCAAATCAATCATTCACGTATTAGAAGAGTCATAGACCGCAGTGGATATATGCTATTTTTCTTCAATGTTGCCGAGCTAGTACATTTTTAATCCTTCTTTAATTGATATCAAGTAGTATTATTCAACTAAAAAATTTCATGAAATCTAACAAGCGAGCTTTTTTCATTGAAACTTGAAAAATAAGCCACCCCAGATTCAGCCGCCACTGAATAGTTCTTATGAATAATTTATATTTAATCTAATAAAGCTCAAAAAGTTTAGTATATCTGTAAAAAATTTCGTTAATTTATCTCCCGTTTCTAACTTTTGATAAAAAAAATATATTCAGAAGCGTACTTTTGACACCCATCCCAGGTAGAACATCATATTGGCTAGAACTTGGTTTCATATTAGCCCAATACTCGAATATTGAATATGGAATTACTAGATTGCAC